CTACAATTTATTCCATACCGGATGTTGTACCAGATCGCCTACACGTTCCTCCATACTGGATGTAGTACCAGATCTCCTACAATTTGTTCCTCCATACGGATGCAGTACCAGATCTCATACAGGTTCCTCCATACTGGATATAGTACCAGATCGCCTACACGTTCCTCCATACTGGATGTAGTACCAGATCTCATACACTTTATTCCATACCGGATGTTGTACCAGATCTCCTACACTATCCTCCATACAGATGTAGTACCAGATCTCCTACACTTTCCTCCATACTGGATGCAGTACCAGATCTCCTACACTTTCCTCCATACCGGATTTTCTACCGGATCTCCTACACTTTCCTCCGTACTGGAATGCAGTATCAGATCTCCTAACCGTTCCTCCATACTGGATGCAGTACCAGATCTCCTACACGTTCCTCCATACTGGATGGATGTAGTACCAGATCTCCTACACGTTCCTCCATACTGGATGTAGTACCAGATCTCCTACACTTTCCTCCATACCGGATGTTGTACCAGATCTCCTACACTATATCCCATACTGGATGTAGTACCAGATCTAATACACTTTCCTCCATACTGGATGCAGTACCAGATCTCCTACACTTTATTCCATACCGGATTTTCTACCGGATCTCCTACACTTTTCTCCGTAGGGAATGCAGTATCAGATCTAATAACGTTCCTCCATACTGGATGCAGTACCAGATCCCCTACACGTTCCTCCATACTGGATGTAGTACCAGATCTCCTACACGTTCCTTCCATACTGGATGTAGTACCAGATCTCCTACACTTTATTCCATACCGGATGTTGTACCAGATCTCCTACACTATATTCCATACCAGATGTAGTACCAGATCTAATACACTTTCCTCCATACTGGATGTAGTACCAGATCTCCTACACTTTATTCCATACCGGATTTTGTACCGGATCTCCTACACTTTTCTCGGTAGTGAATGCAGTACCAGATCTAATACACGTTCCTCCATACTGGATGCAGTACCAGATCTCCTACACGTTCCTCCATACTGGATGTAGTACCAGATCTCCTACACGTTCCTCCATACTGGATGTAGTACCATATCTCCTACAAGTTCCTCCATAATGGATTTATTACCAGATCTCCTACACGTTCCTCCATACTGGATGCAGTACCAGATCTCCTACACGTTCCTCGATACTGAATGCAGTACCAGATCCCCTACACGATCCTCCATACTGGATGCAGTACCAGATCTCCTACACGTTCCTCCAAACTGGATGCAGTACCAGATCTCCTACACGTTTCCTCCATAGTGAATGCAGTACCAGATCTCCTACACGTTCCTCCATACTGAATGCAGTACCAGATGGCCTACACGTTCCTCCATACTGGATGTAGTACCAGATCTCCTACAATTTCCTCCATACCGGATGTGTGTACCAGATCTCCTACACGTTCCTCCATACTGGATGCAGTACCAGATCTCATACACGTTCCCCCCATACAGGATGAAGAACCAGATCTCCTACACGTTCTTCCATACTGGATGTAGTACCAGATCTCCTACACGTTCCTCCATACTGGATGCAGTACCAGATCTCCTACACGTTCCTCCATACTGGATGCAGTACCAGATCCCCTACACGTTCCTCCATACTGGAATGAAGTACCAGATCTCCTACACGTTCTACGTACCTGCCATACTGGATGCAGTACCAGATCTCCTACACGTTCCTCCATACTGGATGCAGTACCAGATCTCCTACACGTTCCTCCATACTGGATGCAGTACCAGATCTCCTACACGTTCCTCCATACTGGATGCAGTACCAGATCTCCTACACGTTCCTCCATACTGGATGTAGTACCAGATCTCCTACATTTTATTCCATACCGGTTATTGTACCAGATCTCAAACACGTTCCTCCATACTTAATGCAGTACAATATCTCCTACATTACCCTCCGTAGTAAATGCAGTACCAGATGTCCTACACGTTCCTCCATACTGGATGTAGCACCAGATCTCTTACACGTTCCTCCATACTGGATGTAGTACCAGATCTCCTACACTTTATTTCCATATTGGATGTTGTACCAGATCTCCTACACGTTCCTCCATACTGGATGTAGTACCAGATCTCCTACACGTTCCTCCATACTTGATGTAGTACCAGATCTCCTACACTTTACTTTATACCATACCGGATTTTGTACCAGATCTCCTACACTTTCCTCTGTACTGAATGCAGTACCAGATCTCCTACACGTTCCTCCATACTGGATGCGTTACCAGATCTCCTACACTTTCCTCCATACTGGATGTAGTACCAGATCTAATACACGTTCCTCCATACTGGATGCAGTACCAGATCTCCTACACTTTCCTCCATACCGGATTGCAGTACCCGGATCTCCTACACTTTTCTCCATACTGAATGCAGTACCAGATCTCCTACACGTTCCTCCATACTGGATGCAGTACCAGATCTCCTACACGTTCCTCCAAACTGGATGCAATACCAGATCTCCTACACGTTCCTCCATACTGGATGCAGTACCAGATCTCCTACACGTTCCTCCATAGTGAATGATGCAGTACCAGATCTCCTACACGTTCCTCCATACTGGATGTAGTACCAGATCTCCTACAATTTGTTCCATCACCGGATGTTGTACCAGATCTCCTACACGTTCCTCCATACTGGATGCAGTACCAGATCCCTACACGTTCCTCCATACTGGATGCAGTACCAGATCTCCTACACGTTTCCTCCATACTGGATGCAGTACCAGATCTCCTACACGTTCCTCCATACTGGATGCAGTACCAGATCTCCTACACGTTCCTCCATACTGGATGAAGTACCAGATCTCCTACACGTTCTTCCATACTGGATGTAGTACCAGATCTCCTACACGTTCCTCCATACTGGATGCAGTACCAGATCTCCTACACGTTCCTCCATACTGGATGCAGTACAAGATCTCCTACACGTTCCTCCATACTGGATGCAGTACCAGATCTCCTACACGTTCCTCCATACTGGATGTAGTACCAGATCTCCTACATTTTATTCCATACCGGTTATTGTACCAGATCTCAAACACGTTCCTCCATACTAAATGCAGTACAATATCTCCTACATTACCCTCTATAGTAAATGCAGTACCAGATGTCCTACACGTTCCTCCATACTGGATGTAGTACCAGATCCCCTACACGTTCCTCCATACTGGATGCAGTACCAGATCTCCTACACTTTTATTCCATACTGGATGCAGTACCAGATCTCCTACACGTTCCTCCATACTGGATGTAGTACCAGATCTCCTACACGTTCCTCCATACTGGATGCTAGCAGTACCAGATCTCCTACACGTTCCTCCATACTGGATGCAGTACCAGATCTCCTACACTTTTCTCCATACTGGATGTAGTACCAGATCTCCTACACGTTCCTCCATACTGGATGCAGTACCAGATCTCCTACACGTTCCTCCATACTGGATGCGTTACCAGATCTCCTACACGTTCCTCCATACTGGATGTAGTACCAGATCTCCTACACGTTCCTCCATACTGGATGCAGTACCAGATCTCCTACACTTTCCTCCATACTGGATGCAGTACCAGATCTCCTACACTTTCCTCCTACTGGATGCAGTACCAGATCACCTACACGTTCCTCCATACTGGATGCAGTACCAGATCTCCTACACGTTCCTCCAAACTGGATGCAATATCAGATCTCCTACACGTTCCTCCATACTGGATGCAGTACCAGATCTCCTACACGTTCCTCCATACTGAATGCAGTACCAGATCTCCTACACGTTCCTCCATACTGAATGCAGTACCAGATCTCCTACACGTTACTCCATACTCGATGCACTACCAGATCTCCTACACGTTCCTCCATACTGAATGCAGTACCTGTTCTTCTACACGTTCCTCCATACTGGGTGCAGTACCAGGGCCCACTTGCACAGAGCAATCTTAGTTACAATCAATCTTAGGGCCCTATAATCAACTTTACAATCCCCATACAATTGCCCTAATCCACTTAGGGCCGATCTTAGCGCGATTGTAAGACGGGATGGATTTATAGATTGCGATCTAAGCTAAGACTGAACTCTTCAGCGGTGGAGGTAAGAAAACACATGAGTCACGCGTCATTGGCTACGATGTAGAATTACCTCCCTTGTCGTATCGACAGACGACACATTGTTGCAACTTGTCGAAATGTCAGCAGAGAAGAGGGTGCGCCGCAGTAATTTTACTGAACAAGAGCTATCCGTGTTGACGGATGAAGTTACACGCAGTAATGATGTTTTGTTCGCCCCATTCTCCCCAATAGTGACGAGTAAGCGAAGAAGGCGGACATGTGGGAAAGCATAGCCGACAAGTAAGTCCAACTGATGAAAACAGGAGGATGCCCTGCTCCAACTCCTCTCTAAGATTTGGAGTCTAAGGTCTACCAGCACAACTGTGTATACATGTGTATGATCCAAGCAGATTGTTTTAGAATTGAAGCATTTTTTCCAATATTAATATAATCACAACAGTGCAAATATTTCAAAGAAAGAAAAATGCTGCTGTTGATAATAATATCATGTGTTTTAAGCTTCATATCTCAATTACAAATTACAAAATAACCTTGGGTCATGAATCCTGATATATATTTTCAGATACATTTGTATGTCACATTACCTTTAAATCTTATTTTTTAAGGTTATCTGCTTGATACCTGCCTGCCAAATAGATGGCTTCTCCTGGTGGAGTTGAAAGTGGTTTGTGTGCCAGTGCAAAACATGTTATTCTCATTGGAAAGTACAAATTGATCTTTACATAAAATGGGTGCCTGGCAATATCGGAATCAAATAAAGTCACATATAATGAAAGTAGTGAAGTTTTACCATGTACTCTTTGTGAAGAACATGTTCAACTTTTATTCAGATGAGATATGCTTCTGACACACAAGATCCTGATGTAAGCATGGCAAGCGAGCTTGAAAGTTCAAGATCAATTACAGCTTTGCCCACAGGTGAATATGTTCAGTGGTATACATTGACATTGTTCAATAATATCATGTAAAGTGATAGTTAAATTAATCAAATAATCAGTTATTGATTCATATTAATGTACAAAAAGTAGTCAATTACTGCTGATCAAAGTTACTTCTGTCTAAACAAACTTACAAAGTTGAAAAGATTAATGATATAGTGATTGTCTCTTCATTTTCTAGAAGACACGCAGAAGTCTGCTATCAAAAAAACTACCAGTACTATATGTAAGCATATGTCAAATATGTTAATGGTACATTTCTCAAAATATTGTATTAATTATTTTATGAATGATTTAATTGTAGTATTCATTGTAAACAATATTAAAGGATAATGTGCTGCATTGCATGTATTATTCTCACATGTAATTAACTGGACTGTTACTTTCCTGTACTTAATAGTGACCAAGTCCAAATCTCCAAAGCTACAAACAGTAGTCGATCTGGAGAGGGAGAAGCTGGAGGTGCTGCATCAGCTACAGCGTGATGGAAGTGAGAGGCTAGACATTGAGAGGAAAAGATTGGCCATTGAGGAGAGAAGACAGGCTGTCGAAGAAAAGAGACTGGCTCTCGATGAGGAAATTTTGAGTTTGCTAAGAAGTAAATCTATAAGTTCTCCTTTCAGCCTGTCCCCCATGATAAAATTCACTTAGATTGCACATGTATTAAATGTAATTTATGACATTTTCATTCATAGGGAATTGTTAACTGTATCTTTTAAGAAATAACATCATAATCAAGTGGTTTTAGATGATTTGGACACAGTCAAATTCACTGTCATGTATACAATGAAAATTTAGAAACATAAATTATTACATGTAGGATTTAGGAAAATTTATTCTGAATTAATTCCTTCCTCATCCTGTGGCCACCATTCTGAGGTCCCTGATAAACATAGTCAATTTCTGGGGCACTTTCCTCTTCAAGAGCAAGGGGATTGTCCAGCCTTGAATCTATGCAGAAATTATGCAGCTTAAATGCTATGATAATAATCTGGGCACATTTTGTGGGGGTAAATTGAAGGCACCCTGATGACTTGTGTAAGCATCTGAAAATAATTCATGTATGGTAATTAATGCATTATTTTCTAACTATAGAATTCAGATATTAAAAGACTTTACAAAGAAGGGTATTTTAGTATTTATATTAACCATACATTAATTTTTATTTTGTCTTAATAATAACATATAATTTTAATTGTCTCTTCATGTATCATATGAGGTACCTTAATGAGTCTCAAAGTCTCATTGTTTCAAAGACATCGAAACGTCTAGATTTACTAGATCTTTTCAGACAAGCTTAGGAATTTTTTATATTTGTTTACCCAAAATTTCTCACCTGAACCTTGATTTCAGAACACCAAATGCCCTTTCAATGGTGTTTCTAGTCTTCATGTGGGCTCCATTATATCTTTCTTCTTGCCTTGTCTGAGGATTATCTATTGGTGTTAGGAGCCAGGGCCTGCATGCATATCTACATAAAGATAACATACAGTCAATAAATTTTTCATTTAGGTATTAATGTCTGTTTAAAATCTGTTTCATATGTGCAGTTACTTAGTGAAATAAGTAGCCTTGTTGTGACTTCTAAGCTTGACACTGATGTGACATGTGTATTTGGTGGTTGTGGCATTCGTAAATATTTATAATAAAAATTAGACAAACCCTGAATCTCCCAACAGCCATCCATCTGGAGGAGAGAACTCGAACGACTGTCCCAACAGGCTGTTCTAAGGATCAATGAGTCATGACTCGCTCCAGGCCACCTTGCAACAACATTGCTGAACCTGAAGGAAATAATCGAGGATGTACTTAGTTTTATGAACATCACTAATAACATTACTATAAGTATACACTGCTTAACATAATTTTATCTCACTCAATGCTAAGATTTTACTGCAACAAATTCTTATTTAAGAATATCTCCCTGTTGTACTCTATTTTCTACTGATGTGTGTGTGTGTGTGTGTATCTATACTAGTATTTTACAATTGATTGCAAATATGTTTACCTATTCATCTTGTTATATGCAATTCAGACATATTGTAATGAGATTACTGTATCTCAAAATAAACAAAAGAAATTCGTTAAAGACTCCTGGTGTGATGTTTTTAATTACCAAAATGCAGCATAAAACGTATACTGTTAATTTTACAGGCGCTTCAAAATATTTCGGTCTCCCATAATATATTGTGAAATAGAGTCGTAAACTGAGAAATACATGAGTGCAAACGAGTTATGACGTTTTGTTATTTTCCAGAGAAATCGTTATGGTCATGTCATAGACATAAGCAATGACTTTAGTTACTTTATTCATCAAAATCTTGGTACGCTGAAACCTTATTCATCCCCAATCGTGCCTCTTGTTGTAACCCATTGAAGGCTGCTGACTTGTGATTGGTCAGTCCCAAGGTAAACACTGATCAGCTGTGCAATTCACCGTAGTAAATTAAGCATGGTGGCCCATTTTCATGCACATACGCTTTAGTGGTATCATTTGATAACAAGTGCAAGCAAAAGACGTATTTGTCGTCATTTTGTTTCAATAATAATGTGTTCTTACCTAAGGTTTGAATCACAAACGGCTTGTACATTGATGGCGTGGAACCCCTTCCTGCACACGTACGCCGATTCATCGTCACCGCTTGGTCGTTTGATAGGTATAAGTGTGCCATCAATGGCACCAATCACTCGGGGCATCTCAGCGATTTGGTGGAAATCTGACATTATGTGCCGAAAGGACGCTGGGTCAGGAAAGTTTATGTTGTCGAGCATACTGCTCATTGCAGACACTGTTCTATGAAAACACCTCGATACACTAGACTTGTGTACTCCGTGGAGATCGCCTATTTCGAGCAAAAAGCCACCCTCACTTAAAAAGCGCCTTGTTAAAAGAAACTGTGTCTCTGGGGTATGGGCATGTGATCTTTTTGTGGGGTGCTCGATTAATGGACGTACTTTGTGCAGTAACTGGAACAACGACAAACGAGGCATTCTGTATCGAGCATACAGCTCCTCGTCACTCAGAATGTCGAGCTTCTTAGTTCTGTCTCTGAAAACCCGTTCTCTAAAAATCTGTCGTATTCTTTACAAAATAGAACAGTACTCGTGTAACACTATGGATGGAGGCTGTGTAGACAGGCAGGCTTGTTTTCCATGGAAGATAAAAGTCGGTCAGTGCTGGTCAACAGTGGGTGATGATAAGGGCAAATGGACCAGGGCCCACTTGCACAGAACGATCTTAGCGCTACAATTATTGTAAATCCTTAAGATCGCGATCTTAGGCTTCGGCTGCAATCGCCATCCACTTGCACAAAGCGATTGTAGGCTAAGATCATTGTAAGTTACAATCGAAACTTAGAATTGGTCCGGACCAATTGTAAGGAGCTAAGATCATTGTAGTCAAGTTAGTGACTGTTTCACGCAAATAATCAGCTTTACGTTTGGAGATTGCTTTTATATTGCATAAAACTGTATGATTCGCCTCAACACTTCAACAACACGGAGAATGCACCACCGATTTAACATCAGAAACATCATTATTTGCGGTAGTGAACTACATAACTATCGAGTCGATATCATAAAGGACTATTCCCACCCGGTTCTGTGTTGGAAGATGTGTGAAACAGCATACCTTTTTGATAATCAAGGAAAGGATAGAAACGAAAGGTGCCTGCATGCGAATAGCAATGGCCGTGACCTTTTCAATAACTCAAGGGCAGCTAATCTTACTGTTTACGCAAGATGGGAGTGGTTTCCCTTGGCATGTTATGTCGCTGCCGTAGACTCTGCCATGCCCAATGCATTTAATGTTGTGACGTCGGAGATCTCCACATATATTTTTTTCCGGTCACATTCGTGTCTTTGAATTTGTCTTAGTTTATAATTAAAATAATCTACAATGAGATAACGTGCAAAATCAAGTTTCTTTCTCATTTTTAAATATACAATTAAGTCAGACGAGAGACGAGGGTTTTTAATCTATGCATTTTAGATATAATACAAGTATTCATCAAACAGGAAATGACACTTGCTAATGCATTTGAAATTTGTGTAAAAAGGAATTTCACAATAAGAAAAATAATTATTAAGTCACTAAATCTAGACCCAAATATATTACTGTATTATTTCGTAATTCAATATTTTCAAAAATCACGGGTAGGTATTTCTGGAGTTGCAATGTCTTTGTTCATAAATCAAGACAGTTAGAATGTAGAAAAATGTGTGTTATCTTCACGTAGTCGTTTCCTTCAAAGACTTGTGGGATTTTTTTTCATGAAAATTCTGCAAGGTGCGATTGAGGGAGGTATGTGTTGTGTGCAGTAACCAGTTCCACTCTTTATTTGCGCAGTATGCTATGCGCACTTGCAGACAACTGTACACAGGAGTCGAGTTCAAGAAATTCCTACCTCCACCGTTGAAGAGTTCGATCTTGGTTAAGATCGCGATCTTAAATCCATGCTGTCTTACAATCGCGTTAAGATCGGCTTTGTGCAGATCTACACGTTCCTCGAAACTGTGTGCAGTACCAGATCTCCTACATTAACCTCCGTAGTGAATGCAATCTCTGATCTCCTACTAGTACCTCAATACTGGATGTAGTACCAGATCTTCTACACGTTCCTCCATATTGGATGTAGTACAATATCTCCTATATTAACCTCCGTATTGAATGCAATACCAGATTTCTTACACGTTCCTCCATACTTGATGCAGTACCAGATCTCATTCACGTTTGGCGTGGCTGCCACGTACCCCAGAAATATTTATTACTGTCACAATAACAGGAAAGAACATACCAGACCATCTTCTTTAGACGCCATTTTATTCAAGCCCACCAAACGCTCCTTCCTACAACGGAGGTAATAAGACTATAAGTTACGTTAAATAAAGAGTTGTCTCCCTTAGACTACTAAACTATCTAATTTAGAAATGTGTTTGAAATATGATAAATATATCTACGCCACACACGTTTCCCCATACTGGAGGTAGTACCAGATCTTCTACACGTTCCTCCATACCGGATGTAGTACCAGATCTCCTACACTTTCTTCCATACTAGATGCAGTACCAAATCAACCATGCTTTCCTCCATTGCAAATGGGGCGGTGGGTTAGCCTAATGGTTAAAGCGTTGGCTCGTCACGCCGAAGACCCGGGTTCGAATCCCCACATGGGTACAATGTGTGAAGCCCATTTCTGGTGTTCCCCGCCGTGATGTTGCTGGAGTATTGCTAAAAGCGGCCTAAACCCAAACTCAGTCAGTCAGCCCATTGCAAATGTACTGTAAGTCCCCATGGTCCCTAGTATGGTGATCTACATTCAGTCGTTGGCAATTTATAGCCTGTTGTTATATTGCATTGTCATTTATAGTTGAATTTTTTTAGATTTAGTCACTAGTATTAGACACGTGAAGATCCGTGGTAGAATAGGTCTTCAGCAACCCATGCTTGTCACAAAAGGCGACTATGCTTGTCGTAAGAGCTGACTAACGGGATCGGGTGGTCAGGCTCCTGACACATGTCATCGGTTCCCAATTACGCTGATCGATGATCGTGCTGTTGATCACTGGATTGTCTGGTCCAGACTCGATTATTTACAGACCGCCGCCATATAGCTGGAATATTGCTGAGTACGGCGTAAAGGTAAACTCACTCACTCACTATTTTTAAATGGATATCCGTGATACACTAGTAATTTTACTGTTCTTCGTCAACAGGTTTTAAAATTTTTAACTTTATTGATCTTTCATATAATTATAAATTGTTCTTGTCACAATATGGCTGAAATATT